CATTTGTGGCAAAAATCATCAGACATCCTACAGTCACTAGAACAAAAACCCCACAAAGGTAGGACACCTGTTCACTACTGTAGCCTCAGTGCTGAAGTCAATGCTTGTCCCAGAGCTGGCATTTAGTAAATATGTGTAGAATGAATGAACGGGTAAATGAATGAACGGTGTAGCTGTTTATAAGTAGGGAAACACAGCTCCAGAAATGTTAAGCGACTCACCAAAAGTCACTTATCATATTTTATAAATTATAAGACATATGTGGACGTATGCTGTGCTCAGTGCCCAGCAAGTGCAAGACAAGGAGGGAGTTGGTGTGTGACACTGTGAGATGGTAATGCAAGCCAACTTCCCTTGAGATACTCTAGGCGATCAATTTCCAAGAGAGGCTCATCTCTCAGAGGACCACTACCCAGCCGTTGCCACTAGAGGGCTCATCAAGACATTTAATCAGGAAGATACAGGCAGTCTGGGAGCCTCTTTTTGTTCAGGCCATTTGTCTCCACAGTTTCTTTTCATTGCATTCCCCCCGCCCCCCCCCCGCCCCCCCGTTATCTCTTTTCCCATGCTAGCTCTGTATTCAGATTAAATCTTCATTCATGTCAATGTAACAATTTTACCACATCCAAATTTTTCTAATGCCAGTTTTCATCAATCCTGACATTTATGTTATTTGTCTGACTTCACTAGTGAGTTCTGCTTTTTAAACACTTGCAGCTCTGTGATCCAGTATCCAGTGATGCGTTATACTTCAGCTCCATTCACAAATCGGGTATCAACTGCAAGCAGCTAAACACAAGCAGTGAATACTAATCAGAACAAGGAAGAATGTGTCTGTTGTGGTCTCAGTGTGAGAGAAAATGCCTCTGCTCAGGGGTGCACCTGTACCTCACTTTGCTTGCTGCCCCATATGGTGACATGACCGATGGTAAATGTCACTGCTGAAAGCTCCATGAGTTTTTTTGAAGGTTCCCAAAGAGGGTGTAGAACACTAAAATATTTCATAACTTTTGCATCTACATGACAGCAATGTCCATGAGCTTCCGCCAGGCACGTTGAAGGCAGAAGCTGTTTATATGGCTCTCCACTGTGTCCTCGGAGCCACACATAGTAACTGACATATGTGTCCTATGTAAAGATCTGATGGCTGGTTAAGTGAATCATCACACACCATCTCTCCCATGGGTAGAGCAGAGGAGCTGAAAAACTCTCCTGGGTGGAGAAAATCAAAAATACCTTGAAGCTGCCCTGATTCAGGGATGCTGCCTTAAAAACTCTTGGGTGGGGTCGTAAGCCAAAAATGGAGCAACTCTGCTTGTGTCGTCTTCAAATTCTTTCAAGGGTGAGGCCTGAGATGCTGCAAATATTTTAAAAAGCAGAATGCACCTGTCAGGGCAAATTAATGCCATAAATGTCAAAACTGATGACACATTTCCTACTGTTCATTGTACATACAGATGGGTTTATTTGTGTCTGCATGTCCAAAATTCGTTTTCAGGCTGGGGGCTCCCCAAGAATGGGGAGGGTGTCTGGTTTCTCTTGCTTGGCTCAAAACTCAAAACAGATTAAAGGCTAGGTCCAAGGACCTGTCATTGAAAGCCTAGAGAAGAAAAAGCTGAAGGATAAAGGTTTTATGAGGAGGGTGCTGAGCAGTTATTCATCACTTGAGATTCAGCTCTAATGAGGTAAACAGTGAATGAAAACCCGAGTTTAACTCCACCTCTTCCACTTGCACTCTGCCACTCTGAGCGGGAGCTACTCTTCGTTGCGGTGTGCGGGCTTCTCATTGCCGTGGCTTCTCTTGTTGAAGAGCACGGGCTCTAGGGGCATGAACTTCAGTAGTTGTAGCTCGCCGGCTCTAAAGCGCAGGCTGAGTAGTTGTGGCGCATGGACTTAGTTGCTCCACAGCATGTGGGATCTTCCCAGACTGGGGCACGAACCCGTGGCCCCTGCATTGGCAGGCGGACTCTCAACCACTGCGCCACCAGGGAAGCCCGGCAGGCAGATTCTTAACCACTGCGCCACCAGGGAAGCCCCATTGAATTGAAACTTTTAAGATGAGACTATTTTTTTTTTGAATTGAGGTGTAGTTGATGTACAATATAAGTTTCAAGTGTACAACATAGTGATTCACAATTTTTAGGTTTATAGTTATTATAAAATATTGGCTATATTCCCTGTGTTGTACAATATATCTTTGTAGCTTATTTATTTTATACATAGTAGTTTGCACTTCTTAATCCCTAACCCCTATCTTGCCTCTCCCCCCGCCCCTCTCCCCACTGGTAACTACTAAGTTTGTTCTCTATATCTGTGAGTCTGTTTCTTTTTTGTTATATTTACTAGTTTGTTCTATTTTTTAGATTCCGCATATGTTATAGCATACAGTATTTGTCTTTCTCTGACTTATTTCACTCAGCATCATACCCTCCAAGTCCATCCATGTTGTTGCAAAAGGCAAGATTTTCTTTTTTTGTGGTTGAGTAATACTCCATTGTATATGTGTACTACATCTTCTTTATCCATTCATCTGTTGGATACTTTTGTATCCAACTGATACCTTTGTCAGTTGCTTCCATATCTTAGCTATTGTAAATAGTGCTGCTCTGAACTTTGGGATGCATATATCTTTTCGAATTAGTGTTTTTGTTTTTTTCAGATATATACCCAGGAGTAGAATTGCTGGGTCATATGGTACTTCTATTTTCAATTTTTTGAGAAACCTCCATACTGTTTTCCACAAGAGGCTGCACCAATTTACATTCCCACCAACACTGTACAAGGGTTCCCTTTTCTCCACATCCTGGCCAACATTTGTTATTTGTGTTCTTTTTCTGTGGGGGTGGGGGTCTGATTCATAATTTAATAGGTGTGCAGGTCTGGGTCCCTTATTTCTGCTGCTCACGGGTCCACTGCTCTGGGGTCACGGTTTTCTGCTCAAAGGCATGGATGTGCAGGAGCTCTTCTGCTAGGCAAGTGTTCACAAGCCGGTGTCTCTGAAGCAGCGGCTTCCCCTCGAACTTGGCCGACACCACCAGGACCGGAAGCTGGACGCACAAAGGCTGGGAGTCATGTCCTGCATTTCCACCCCCAGGTCCCACTGCAGCTTCTCCCGGCGGTACTCGGCGCCGAGTTCCATTGTGGCAGCCCAACGGGGGCGGCAGCCCAGCAGGGACAGAACCCCTGCTCGGACGCCTGCCACACTTATTTGTGTTCTTTTTGATGACAACCATTTATTTATTTATTTATTTATTATCGGAGTATAATTGCTTTACAATGGTGTTTTAGTTTCTGCTTTATAACAAAGTGAATCAGTTATACATATACATATGTTCCCATACCTCTTCCCTCTTGCGTCTCCCTCCCTCCCACCCTCCCTATCCCACCCCTCTAGGTGGTCACAAAGCACCGAGCTGATCTCCCTGTGCTATGTGGCTGCTTCCCACTACCTATCTATTTTACGTTTGGTAGTGTATATATGCCCATGCCTCTCTCTCGCTTTGTCACAGCTTACCCTCCCCACTCCCCATATCCTCAAGTCCATGCTCTAGTAGATCTGTGTCTTTATTCCCATCTTACCCCTAGGTTCTCTTCATGAATTTTTTTTCTTAAATTCCATATATGTGTGTTAGCATACAGTATTTGTTTTTCTCTTTCTGACTTACTTCACTGTGTATGACAGACTCTAGGTCCATCCACCTCACTACAAATAACTCAATTTCGTTTCTTTTTATGGCTGAGTAATATTCCATTGTATATATGTACCACATCTTCTTTATCCATTCATCCAATGATGGACACTTAGGTTGCTTCCATCTCCTGGCTATTGTAAATAGAGCTGCAATGAACATTTTGGTACATGACTCTTTTTGAATTATGGTTTTCTCAGGGTATATGCCCAGTAGTGGGATTGCTGGGTCGTATGGTAATTCTATTTGTAGTTTTTTAAGGAACCTCCATACCGTTCTCCATAGTGGCTGTATCAATTTAGATTCCCACCAACAGTGCAAGAGGGTTCCCTTTTCTCCACACCCTCCCCAGCATTTATTGTTTGTAGATTTTTTGATGATGGCCATTCTGACTGGTGTGAGGTGATATCTCATTGTAGTTTTGTTTTGCATTTCTCTAATGATTAATGATGTTGAGCATTCTTTCATGTGTTTGTTGGCAATCTGTATGTCTTCTCTGGAGAAATGTCTGTTTAGGTCTTCTGCCCATTTTTGGACTGGGTTGTTTGTTTTTTTGTTATTGAGCTGCATGAGCTGCTTGTAAATTTTGGAGATTAATCCTTTGTCAGTTACTTCATTTGCAAATATTTTCTCCCATTCTGAGGGTTGTCTTTTGGTCTTGTTTATGGTTTCCTTTGCAAGGAGAATGTTGAATCACTATTGCTGGACAACTTCACCAAACATTCTTGTTTGTAAAGATGGGAGACTGGACGGGAATGTGCATTCGCAGACATTTTTGTGAGAGGTGACAAATGGGCGTAAATCCTGTTCGGGAACAATTCTTTAAGGGGTGTGCTTGCTCAGTTTCCTCAATCTGGGCAGCACAGTAACAGCAGGTGCCAGTTGGGGTCACTTGGATTTTGTACTGCCCTTTAACAATACCTAAAGAAAGACATCCTCTAAACATTGGGCTTTATAAAGAAGAAAGGAGGATTAGATGAGTGTGGCTGGACTCACATGCTGGAGTGAGCTGTATACAGTCACTAAATAGATGACACACATAGATATATGTAGCAAATTATAAGTGTCACAATGAGTATGATGAGTAATATGACTTGGAAGCCAACTACCAAATCTTGTAGTTCAGGATTCCAAGACTAAGGGCGGGATTTCCCTGACTCTTTTTTTTTTTTTTTTTTTTGCGGTACGCGGGCCTCTCAGTTCTGTGGCCTCTCCCGTCGCGGAGCACAGGCTCCGGAAGCACAGGCTCAGCGGCCATGGCTCACGGGCCTAGCTGCTTCGCGGCATGTGGGATCTTCTCGGACCGGGGCACAAACACGTCTCCCCTGCATCGGCAGGCGGACTCCCAACCACTGCGCCACCAGGGAATTCCTCCCTTACTCTTTAAGGCTTCATTTTTTTCCTTCGGGATGTTTCTGCAGCATCTTCACCTTGTCGTTTTCTACCTTCAGTACTGTCCAGAGACCAGATGGCCATGCATCTCTCTGTGGGTCCTTAAAGGCAGGAACCATGCCCCCCTTCCTAGCAGCACCTTGCAGAGGTGGCCACATTCTGGAGATGGAGGCTACATGGTAAGATGAGGGAGGTGGACTCAGCAAAGCCCCTGCACTTTTGGCAGAACTGCTGACCCAGAGGGACATGGGTGTCTTGGGGGTAATTAGTATGGGCCAGTTGACTTTAAGAGTTTCCCTTATCCTATGTTCCTTTATGCCACTATCCTATGTACAACCCCAGGATCTGTGGAAGCAGCAAAAAGAACTGAGACTGAATTTCCCTCTAGTCCAACTGGTACTCAATTCATACTTGATGAGTGACCAGTGGGCTACCTCCTGTAGACATGGTCTTTTGGCCTGGGTGTTGGGATGACTTGGATGTGGTGCTTTCGAGAGAACAGAAACCTGTATCCCTCAGCTAGACAGACCGAGATGAACAGACAAAAAGGCATGGAGTGTTTGACCCCTGCTGGGCACTTAATAACTGTGTTGTTAAATGAATGGATTTAGATATGTGACCTAGACTGGAACAAATATTTGCTTTATTTCTTTGATAATACTTAATGAATATCTCTTATATTTGAATTGTACGTATCTCCCCCAAATAGTTTTTATGACTAAACCTGGTAGATAAGTAAAGGCAATTTTCCTGAGGGCGTAATCACGGCCAGAATTAGGTGATACTCAGAGAAGACAGGCATTCTGAGTGTCCCTAACATGTTTATTCCCAGGGCCAGCCACCTTCCTCATCTGGTGATTCCAGGGCTCCAGACTGGGGGAGGGAAGTGGAGGCCTGAGGACAACACACATCATACTTCATGGTCCTTTACAGGCTGAGGAGTCTGGTTTGCTCTAGAACCAACTGTAGCCACTGCTGGGATCCTCTTTATGGTGCCTGCCAATCCATGGCATGGGGATGATAAACAACTCTGGTGGATGGATTTAATGGATGAAGGAAACAATTTTCCTAGGGAGAAAGAAAGTGGTTTGTTTTTAAGACTTGGTTCCTCTCTTGGTCCTGGTGGTTTGTGATCTATAAAGATCTATTCAGCTCATCTCTATGGCTCCTTCCTGTTTACCACTTTCTTCAGATCCTGATACCACTAAAGATACACAATTTCCAAAAATGTTGAAGTAATATAGGAAAAATAAAATTATTTTGATCAGTGGAATTGGGGGAGGGATGGAAATACAGATAATTCTTTTTTAAAAACTTTTTTTGGTCAAATATTTAAAAGTTAAAAATTTAGCAAGTTTGGTAATACAAACTTTCCTCTTACTTTCTGTACGCTGAGTCTTTTGAATCATCTCTCGGTTTTAGTCTCTATAAGAGGTTAAGAAGGTGCCATTGCCAGGACTTAGAGTCCTGGTTTGGAGTGAGAAAAGGCTCCACCAACCTGGAGCGAGAGTATCTGACTTTTCATCACGAGGCACATGATCAAAAAGCCACTTGTTTGTGATTACAGTGAAGTCCAGAAGGGCCTCCCTCTACTGATGAATACTGAACGTGATTCATGCGTGTGTCAAGTACATATGAAGGCCTTCATCCCCTTTTTCCTTTTCTTAGCCATCCTTCAGAGTGCCCTAGTTTCATGGTGTGCTTTTGGTGGAACTATACTGAACACTTCAACTGAATAAAGCATTACTTTCGGCTTAATCACACTTACAAATGGATCCTGCACTGTGGGTTTGCCTCTTGGGGCAGAGGTCAGTGCACAATGGCATCAGTGACCAACAGGAATGAATGAGGTTTTAATGACCTGCATGAGCTGGCTAATCATGTAAGCGCCCCTGCTGAGATTCCAACATGCACTTCATCCTTCAGTCAGGATGGCCCCAAAGGGCCGGCCCTTCCATGTCCAGCAGAGGCCAGAAGTTGAAGGCTTGGATTTTAGACTGAAAGTCAGCAAGAGGAAGTCACAGGGTTGGCATGGAGTCCTTTTATCTCCCTTTTTAGAAACAAGGCCCCTGAGAGACAGAAAAACACCTAGAGCCCCCCTTTGAGAGCTGTCACCCATTGTCTCTCCAAGACAGAGTAGCCCTGCTCATAAAAACCTACCCAATCCTGGTTTAAAAAAATCTTCTGCAGAATTCCAGAGTGGGTAGTAGTTAATACAAAATAACATAATTTCTGACATGAGTGGATGTCCAAAAATGTTTCCATTTTCTCCTCTTCTCTTACCCGACCAATTTCTCATCTTATAAAAATTTCCAAAGTTTTACATCTGTATTTATTTAATAGTTTAAGCCTCACTCCAGCTCTCACCATGTCTTACTATATTTGTGTTTTCATGCTCCTCTTTCTGTCTGCTTTATCTCTCTCCATACTGTCTTTCCCTTCTCTCCTCTCTCCTTTTCCCTCTGTCTCTCACACCTTCCTTTGTCCCTCAGTTCTGCCCTCAATTTTTATGCTTCTTGCCCCTTTTCTTTCCATCTCTGTGTCTCTCTGCGTCTTTGCAGAGCTCTCTCTGTGTACGTTTCCTCGCCTTTGACAATTTCTTATGCCTCAGCTCCCCTTGCCCACCTCATCCTCCTCAGGTGCCCTTATTCCCATAATGTCCTGCACATTTCAGAGCCAGGTGCTCACCACTAGGAAGCCGAATCCAACAAAGAGTGCAACAGTGGTGGCAGTGGCAGGGAAATGAAGGGGATTCTGATGGGTGTCAGGAGCCCAGGGGGTTTCACTGCGGTTACTGAATCTGTTCCCTCTGGTTTAGTGTCTGGATGTTCAGTGGTATAATCTTCTGTGGTCCCCAGGTCTGGGGTGGTGTAGTCCTCCGTGGTTCCTGGGTCTGGGGTGGTATAGTCCTCTGTGGTGCCCGGGTCTGGGGTGGTGTAGTCCTCTGTGGTGCCTGGGCCCTCAGTGACATGATCCTTAGTGGTCTCTGGGTCAAAAGTGATAGAGTTTTCAGGGCTGGTCTCTGGGTCTTTAGTGGAAACATTTTGGCTTATTCCTACTCAAAAATAATCTCTTTTAATGTGGATCATTGATGCATCATCTGCTTTGCTTACTAGTCTTTTTTTTTGCCGTACGCGGGTCTCTCACTGTTGTGGCCTCTCCCGTTGCGGAGCACAGGCTCCGGACGCGCAGGCTCAGTGGGCCCAGCCGCTCCGCGGCATGTGGGATTTTCCCGGACCGGGGCGCGAACACGTGTCCCCTGCATTGGCAGGCAAACTCTCAACCACTGCGCCACCAGGGAAGCCCTGCTTACTATTCTTCACAAGTATCTTGCGCATTCAAATGACACTTCTCCCCATATAATGTGATTTTATTTATTTGAGCTAAGGATCATTTGATATTTTAGGTTTAATTCTGATAAAACATTCTACAACATGCACTACAATATGGAGTACCCAGAGCTAAGTCATGTCCTTAGAAGATCTTCTCACCCAGCCTTTGATTCTGCCCTTGGTGGTTCTGGTCTCTTTCCATGGAAAAGTAAGCCTGACTCTTTCCAAACCTCCCTTCCCCCTGGGTTGGTATTTCAGTATCCCGGGTATTCAGACTCCATGTTTCTTTGTGTCACCTCTCATCCAGTTATGCCTGGGTCTCTGGTAAACAAGTGAGGCAGGAGCCATGATTTTTATTAGAGATTGAATTCAGGTCGTGGCTTGGTATATGTTTTAGAATGAGGCAGCTCCTGGGTCAGATCTGGGGCCAAAGTGTCAAGATTGAGGGCAGGTAATATTCAAGGTGGTTTGAGGGTAGGAGAAGTCACAAGGGGCTGTGGATGTGGTCTGGTTGGGGTTGATAGAAGCACTGAATTGGGTATAAGTAGAAGGAAGAGATGGATCTTTCCACCTCCCACCACCTCCACCTGCAGGGCATCAGGACTGAGAGTGTTTATCCTTATGAATAAGTGCAGCCCACATGGCATAAATTTTGGGGTTTTCGGCTCCTCTGCTCAAAACAATTCCCCCCTACCTGCTGCCGATTCCCAAATAGGGCTCAAATATTTCATTTCCCAAGGAGGGATGAAATACAGAAAGTTAAGGTCTAAATAATGAAAAGCAGAACATTTCCTTAAAAGAGGATGTAAGAAAGATAATGAACAGGACCATCGGAACCTACTCCCCTGTGACAGGGAACTGGGGGTAGGTACCAGGGTGTGGAGCTCCCCAAGGGTGTCTCACCTATTCCACACCTTCTCTCAAGACTGGCCCTGCCTGAGTCCTAAGAGGTTCCTTCTCCAGGGATCCCGGCCCCTACCTCTCCAGACCCTGGGGAACCTTTGCACTCTTCTCTCCAAAAATAGTTCACTCACCCAGTTCCAAACACCGGAACAGAAGCAGCATCAGGAGAAGGGATGAGGCAGCACATTTTCTTTTTTCATCTCAAGAGAATCCAAATGGGCTGGAACCCAGGATGCTTTTTCCTCCCTCCTTCTCTCTACTTTTTCTATCTCTCCTTCTCCTTAAGCACAGAGTGGCTGTGGGGTTCATATGTGCTGCTACAAAGGAATCCAGGATGCCTGGGTCTTCCTTCCTTCTTTCAGGGAGGAACAGCCTGCTTCTTTACTCTCTGTCAATCAAGGGAAGAAGAATTTGTTGCAGAGTAGGGCCAGGGCAGAAGAGAGATGTCATAAGTGCAAGAAGGGGATCTTGGCTCTGCCCAGAGCCCAGAGTTGAGCATAACAGGGGATCAAACTTGTCAGCGTGGGTGGCATCACTTTCTGATGCAGAGCCCTAGATGAAAGCTGTCCACCACACAACGTCTCAGTGCTCAGGGAGGGGCTTGGGCTTCCTTTTCCACAGGTGGGAGTGGTAAGGTTGGGGCGACCAAGGAGGGTTTCTGGCAGGCCTGCCTGGGGGGTAGTGCATGGTGAGAAGAGGGCTAGATGTCAGAGGGCACAGAGCACCTTGGTCCTTAACAGAAAGGAGGAACGTTGATGAGGGGGGAGAAATACCCAATCTCTCTATCTTTTAAAAATGTTTATTTATTAATTTGGCTGCGCCGCACCTTAGCTGCAGCACACGGGATCTAGCTCCCTGACCAGGGATTGAACCCCGGCCCCCTGCATTGGGAGCATGGAGCTTTAGCCACTGGACCACCAGGAAGGTCCCCCAATCTCTATCTTAGAACTGCCCTCTTCTCTCAGTCATCCACCCAAGTCCTTGTCAGTGGCTCATCTCCTACCTGCAGATTCATCTCCTTGCTGCTATTACTTGAATGCCCTCAACCCACCAAGATTTCCTCAGTGACCAGATGAAATTAGTTCACCTCCAAGAGTCCCATCGGGCTTGGAATGAGAATACCCATATTCCTTCCTTTGCGGATTCCCACCCCTGCATCGTTCAAGATTGTCCAGAAAATTATAGCTGCTTGTTTTCATTCAGAGTCAGGAAGTTCCCTGCCATTCGTGGGGCCTCCCTCTTTCCCAGTATCCTCTTAAGTGGAAGACGAACTCGGGAATTACAGGACGGCTGGAACCACGTTCCCCTCTCAGATGGCGGCTGATTCCCTGAAAGTCAACTTAGTGAATGGCTGGTTTACCAAATTTAATTGATTACTTCAACTACTAATTTTATTTGAGTGGATTAAATATTATTTAGATGAATTAAGAAGGTATTTGTATGTATTTAATATAACTAATGAATATATTTTAAAGGACTATCATAAGGAATAGATATTATTTTTAAGTCAGGAGGCACAATTTGCATATAATGAAATTAACCTTTTTTCATGTATAGATCTATAAAGCTTTTTGTTTTGTTTTATTGTAAAATTTTTTATTTTGAGATAATTTTAGACTTATAGGAGAGTTGCAAAGATAGTACAGAGAAATTATAAAATTTATACAATTATAGAAACTAAGAAATTAACTTTGGCATAATACTATTCACTAAATTACAGAATTTATTCAGATTTCATGTGTTTTTCCATTGATGTCCTTTTTCTGTTCCAGGATCCTATCCAGGGTTCCACATGGCATTTATTTATAGGTCCCCTCAGTCTCCTCCAATCTGTGACAGTTCCTCTGTCTTTGTCTTTCATGATGTTGACATTTTTGAAGAGTATCAATATTTTATAGAGTGTCCTGAAACTTTGTTTCTTTTAAAAAATTTTTATTATAGTTGATTTACAGTGTTGCATTAGTTTCTGCTGTACAACAAAGTGTATCAGTTATACATATACATATATCCACTCTTTTTTAGATTCTTTTCCCATATAGGTCATTACAGAACATTGAGAAGAGTTCTCTGTGCTATACAGTAGGTCCTTATTAGTTATCTATTTTATATATAGTAGTATGTATATGTCAATCCCAGTCTCCCAATTTCCGCCCCCCACCGAGACATTTCCCCCCCAGGTAACCATAAGTTTGTTTTCTACATTTGTGACTCTGTTTCTGTTTTGTAAATAAGTTCATTTGTACCATTTTTTTAGATTCCACATGTAAATGATATTATATTTGTCTTTCTCTGTCTAACTTACTTCACTCAATATGACAATCTCTAGGCCCATCCATGTTGCTGCAAATGACATTATTTCAGTCTTTTTTTATGGCTGAGTAATATTGCACTGTATATATGTACCACATCTTCTTTATCCATTCTTCTGTCGATGGACATTTAGGTTGCTTCCGTGTCCTGGCTATTGTAAATAGTGCTGCAATGAACATTGGGGTGCATGTATTATTTCCAGTTATGGTTTTC